ATGCGCGAGAAGAATTTGTGAAGTGTCCCATGCTCGCTCTCTGGCGAGAGGGCCATCAGGCGCTTGAGCGCATCCTCCTTGTACTTAGTCACCATGTGGGCCGGGAGGTCTCGGGCTTGGCGGCGCGTCAGCGGCGGCACGACCGGCTCGTCGAGGGGGTTCTTCGTGGCGGCGACCTTGCGCTTGTGCGCGCGGACGTACACCTTGCGGACGCGTGGCTGAGGGCACTCTCCCGAGGGCGGCATGGCGACTTGCTGTGGATGTAGTCGATGTGTGCAGTGTGCAGGATTTGCACCCTTTTTGCATTCATCCTGACACGTGACACTACGCGAGCAGCACCCATGGAGGCGCTGGTCAACACTGTGCTGCTGGCTGCACACCCGAGCCTTCGCGAGCGCTGCAACGCCGCAAAGGTCGTGTCGGTCCTCGAGGAGCTCGGGGCGTACGACTCGTCCGCACTGCGGTCACTCCTCTCGTCGTTCACCGACACCGTCGCACACAAGCTGAAGGAGGAGGAAGCAGCACCGCCAGCTCTGGTCGCCGCGCTGGCGACGCATGTCGACTCGGGCAGCCTATCAGAGCCTCAGAACATCGGCGGCGCGATGGACGCGACAGCTGCAACCTCCTCCTCGAGCAGCGCCGCCGCTGCTGTCACCCCGAGGACGGTGAAGGCGAAGGCCGGCGGCGGCAATGTGCATGCACATGTTTCGACTAAGGTAAGGTAAGGTAAGGTAAACTTCTCCACACACACGAGGTGGTGGGGCAAGGGGGGGCAACCCTCGCGTCTCCACTATACGACTTGTTAGTTGTTTCTCGGTCGGGCGGTATTACAAAAAACGGTCCTCACCACGTTTCACTTGCAGTTCTAGCTGTGGCACCCTCCTCATCGCTCTCTGACCCCCACCTCTCGCACACCGTCACCGACTGCGCCCCCCTGCATGCTGTGTTTACTTTTCTCGAGGTCCCCCCCCCCCCCCCCTGCCCCTCCCCCTTGGCCCCGCAAGACCAGGTGTGTCGTGGGCTGTAGGCATGCCCGCGCCCCCGCACTGTCTCGCTGGGCGGTGGCGACCAAACTCACCACTCGCGTGCAGCTAATTCGACGTCCCTCGTGTCTCCGGCCTCCTCCAGTTTGTGCGGTCGCGCGCTGGCTCGCAACAACGCAGGCTCGCACCCAGTATAACGGATCTCGAGCTCTTAGAGCTCGGGAGACTGCCATCCCTGGCGATGGCCGCGCGACAGGCCCCTGTGAGCACTTGAGCACCGGATAGGGTCGATTCCGCATGGTACGGGACCCCTCGACATCCTCGCATTTGCTCAGGTCGAGCTTCTTCAAGTTCTTAGGTTTGTTTTAATAAAAAAGAAAAACTTGCTCGGCATCCCACTTGCATCCCCGCCCCCCATACCCCCGTCAGACCGATCCATGCACATGCGTGAGCGGACGCGGAGGCAGAAGGCGCTCGCCGCGGCCCACAGGGCCAGCCGTGCCAAAAGAGCGCCCTCCCCCACCACTGTGCCTCCGGCGCGGGATCGGCGCCTTCAGCGGCGCTTTGTGAGAATGCTCGTCAGGACTGCTGTGGCGGCAGAGCTGTGCGACGTCCCGACCGCCCTCCTGCTGGCCGCTCACGCGAGGGACGCCTCCTCGGCGCTGATCCTGCTGACCGGCATAGCGGAGTGGTTCGGCCGCCGCCGCCGCGGGCGAGGGACGGACTTTGAGCTAGCGCTGGACGCCGCCGAGCGGCTTGGCATCTTCGCGCGCCGGCAGACCTGGGACCGGTTTCGGCTGGACTGTCCGCTCGGGCGCGGCGGCCGCAAGCACCCTTCCGTGCGATGGGGACGTGGCAAACTCGCGACTGCCGGCCGAGCGGCTCGCACCAGGACACGTCCATGATAGAGATGTGTCCATAGGAATCTTCCCCGACTGCCGGCCGAGCGGCTCGCACCACCGCTCGTCGGGCACGCCCGTCACGCCGCTGATGCTGTGGCAAGCGGCGGAGGTTGCGATGCTCGTGGTGCAGCAGGAGGCGCACGCCTTCCGTTAGTCACGGGTTCCTACTATTTATGGATCCGACGGCCGCGCGACTGGGGTGCCACCTCCCAGCCGCTTGCTCGGAGGAGAGCAGACCCTGCATGCTTCTGAAAGCCCTCGAGGAGAGCTACAAGAACCATGTACGGCTTGCTCTCCTCCAAGCAAGCGGCTGGGGACGGCAAGGCCAGACGTGCAGCCATAGGCAACCTCTGCTCAGA